ATCTGGCCAGTGACATGGAAGTTCAGTGGATGACATAAACCTTACAACACATACAGTGTGGGGTTGATTTACTAAAACTGGAGAGTGGAAAATCTGGTGCATAGAATCAATCAGCTTCCAGTTTTTTTGTTAAAGTGGTTATAAAGGCTCCAGGTTTTTTACATTCTTGCTTTCTTCTGTGTGTAGAAGCCCCCCAACACTTACCTGAACCTCATCCCGATCTAGCAATGTCCATGAGAGCCTCAGTTCTCCGTGAACTCTCACCCCTGATTGGCTCTTGCTGCTGTCAATCACAGCCAGTGAGTGAATCAGGAGATCGAGTGGGCAGCACCAAGCCTCAGCTCTGTGTGTGAATGGACATGCAGAGCCATATCTTGGGAGCAAGCTGCTTGCTGTGGGGGCACTTGACAGGAGGAAGGGTCCAGGAGCACCGGCGGGGGACTCGAGAAGAGAAGGATCCAGAATGCTCTATGCAAAAACCATTGTACAGAGAAGGTAATTATGACATGTTTGTTATTTGAAAAACAAAAACAAGACTTTAGTATCACTTTAATGCTTAATTGAACAAGCTGAACTCAGAAGCTGATTAGCTACCATGCACAGCTGTGTCAGATTTTGCACTCTACAGTTTTAGTAAATCAACCTCAATTTATCCAGTCACAAGTCATTAAAGGCAGATCACTGCCCTGACCATTAACAAAACAGACCTTATCACCCAAAAACCACTGGAGAATATGATATTAAGTATTTCTGCTTTCCTGACAGCTCCATGTCAGCACAGCTGGGTAAGGGCCCTGCCTTCCTATGCTTCCAGGAGCTAACTCATAAATTTGAACCCACCTGCAGCCTTGGAGTCCATGCGTGTGGGTTTCAGCTGGATGTGGTCCCTGGTTGTACCGGGTAAATAACCCATAATCCAGGGAGCCCTCTGTTTGTCCCTCAGGGCAGCTTTTATCATGGTTAAAAGCCTTGTCTGGGGTCAGCTGGGTCCATGTGAAGTGGGCAGCGGTTGTCAGCAGAGTCTCTCCTAGGCACGCACAGTTGTGCAATGCCAGTGTTTACAGTTGAATGGTGGAGGTTGGGTGAGTTAATTTTAAAAACGCTTTGTATCCAAATGAAATGATGCATTGATAGGTATTGTTATGCCTTGCTTCCTGCAGCTGCTGTTGATTACCCTGAGCTCCTCCACAGATAGTACTCTGCATAAGAGGTGTACAAAGTAATACTTTGTTCACAAATGGCATTACCCTGATGGTGGCTTCTCATGTTTGCTTTACTATTGTGCTATTATGCCCAACCCCCTCAAAAGACCCAGCCTTCCCAGAGAAGGTAGAGGAGTCACCTGTGGATGACTACTGTAGCCAGCAATGCCTATTGAATTACAGAATGTCCTTTTATATTTATTTGTTTGTGCTCTCCAGTTTCTCCAAAAAAAGAAAGAGAAATGTCAACAAATCTCTTGGATGGTCTGTGTAAATTGCAGAATAATATCATTCTGTTGCAGATTCCTACCTTTTTGTTGCTCATCTTAACAAAACTTTTTTTTATCATGTCCTGTTCTCTGGCAGGGCAAGGTTTGGTTCATTAACCACTTGGTGTCGTCAGCGCTGTGGTTGGAAGCTGCAGCATCTGCATCCCTCTAGCAGTGGTTAATAATTTTAGGGTTTGTTACTAAGCAAGCTTTTTTTACTCTATCTCTCTATATCATTAAATTATTATTATTTTTTTGTAGCTGCTTTTAAGCAGCAGGCAAAACCCTGTGAAAGGATTATCTAGTCTGGCAATGAGTCTCAGAGCTTTCCCAAGCAAAATAACCCTCTTCAGACTTTTCAAAAAAAGAAGACACGGAGATGAAATATATTGTGAGATAAACATGAGTGTAAGTGTTTTATTCACCTTGTGAAGGAGTTATGTGTTCTAAAAATGAGCAGTCTTGTAGCCTTCCAGGGCAAAAAATAATAGCATCTTCAGACTCTCCAAAGGGGGAAGAAATGGATGTACATGACGGTATGAATCTCCTACTTTGTTCAAGCAACCAGAAATGAGGATGATGACACCCAACATGTTGTCACATTCATCACGTCAAGAATGGCACGCAGTGCTACACTCAAAAATAGGAGTTGTTTCCACTCACCCCTGTGAAAGGATATATGTTCTGGCAATTAGAAATCTCATTAGTCTTGCAAGGCAAGGCAGCTCTGCAGACTCTGAAGAGGAAGATCGTGGCACGAGCAAGAGGACTGTATGTGTCTGTCAGGGCCCCTCCAGCAGGTCTCTCGATTACAGAAGGCCTATGTTGATGACTGCAAGCAGGGAAACCCACGCAGGAACTCAGTCAGTCACTGTTATAATCAATATAATTTATTAACAATAAACGGCTGTACTCAAACATAAACGCAGTGCAATACTAAAACATAATACGGTGCAAACAAACCCAAACCAAACCACCCACAGATAACAGTATATACAAGCAAATGCGTCGTCAGGCAGGTTGATCGGGTTCAGAATATCAATTGGGCAGGTAGGTACAGGGGGAGCAAGCGGAGAATGGTCGGGGGTCACAGGCCAGGTTCAGCAGGTAGCAAGCAGCATAGTACAGAGGGTCAGGCAGATGGGATGGTCCGGGTCACAAGCCAGGGATCAGAACAGGTAGCAAGCAGCGTAGTACAGAGGGTCAGACAGAGGGATGGTCAGGGTCACAAGCCAGGATCAGAGCAGGAGAAGTCAGCAAAGGAACAGAAACAGGATTTGCAGGACAGATACAGGGCCCTTAGGACAAACACAACACCAAGGCAGAGTCTGCAAGTCTGGCCATCCCTTAAATACACCAGTATCATCAGTTCCAGGTGTTAGCTGGCTGAAAGGTTGAGTCTCTGATTGCTGGGAGCACCCGCTGGCCAGCCCTGGTACTGCAGATCAAAAGGCAGGTGAGTCCCACCATTGCTGGCCAGTCCATTCCTAACAGTACCCCCCCCCCAAATCAAGGAAGCGGCCTCAGGACGCTCCCAAACAGTCCTAGCTGGGCAAAATGTTCCACCGCCCGGGTCTGGCAACTGGCGGGATATCAAAGACTGGCACACCGGGCAGGACTCCGGGCAGCGGCACACCGGGCTGGACTCCGGGCAGCAGGCACATCGGGCAGAGGCACATCGCAGAGGCACACCGGGCAGAGGCACATCGGGCAGGACTCCGGCAGAGGCACACCGGGCAGAGGCACATCGGGCAGAAGAGGCACACCCGGGCAGGGCACTCCGGGCAGAGGCACATCGGGCAGGACTCCGGGCAGAGGCACATCGGGCAGGACTCCGGGCAGAGGCACATCGGGCAGGACTCCGGGCAGAGACGCACATCGGGCAGACTTCCCGGGCAGAGGCACATCGGGCAGGACTCCGGGCAGAGGCACATCGGGCATTTTTAGCGCCGGCAGAGGCAGCAGGCAGCGGGCCATCCGGGCGGAGGCAGGCACCGCGGGCCCCTCGGGCGGAGGCACAGGCACCGGGCCCCCGGGCGGAGTGGCAGCAGGCAGCATCGGGCCCCTCCGGGCGGAGAGCAGCAGGCACCGGGCCCCACCGGGGAGCAGCAGGCACATCGGGCCCCCTTGCCGGGCGGTAGCAGCAGGCACCGGGCCCCCTGGGCGGGGGGTGAGACAGGCACACGGGCCCCCAGGCGGGGCGACAGGCATCGTGCCCCCAGGGGCGGAGACAGGCGGGCGCCGGGGCCCCCCACGGCGGAGGACAGGGGGGCCCTCAGGCGGAGCGGCGGGCGGGCACCGGACCCCCAGGCGGGAGCGACAGGTCATCGGGCCCTCAGGGGGCGGCGGGCGCCGGACCCCCAGGGCGGAGCGACAGGTCTCCGGGCCCCCAGGCGGAGCGGCGTAGCGCAGCAGGCACCGGAGCGCCCCCCTCAGGCGGAGCGGCGGGCAGGTCCGGGCCCCCAGGCGGAGCGGCGCGGGCGCCGGACCCCCAGGCGGCGAGCGACAGGTCTCGGGCCCTCAGGCGAGCGGCGGGCGCCGGACCCCCAGGAGGAGCGACAGGTCTCGGGCCCCTCAGGCGGAGCGGCGGGCGCCGGACCCCCCAGGCGGAGCGACAGGTCTCGGGCCCTCAGGCGGAGCGGCGGGCGGGCCATCGGACCCCCCCAGGTGGAGCGACAGGTCTCGGGCCCTCAGGCGGAGCGGCATCGGCGCCGGACCCCCAGGCGGTGAGCGACAGGTCTCGGGCCCTCAGGCGGAGCGGCGGGCGCGGACCCCCAGCAGCGGACCCAGCGGGCGGAGCGGCGGGCGGGACCCCCAGGCGGAGCGACAGGTCTCGGGCCCTCAGGCGGAGCGGCGGGCGCCGGACCCCCAGGAGGCGGGAGCGACAGGTCTCGGGCCCTCAGGCGGAGCGGCGGGCGCCGGACCCCCAGGAGGAGCGACAGGTCTCGGGCCCTCAGGCGGAGCGGCGGGCCCGCCGGGACCCCCAGGAGGAGCGACAGGTCTCGGGCCCTCAGGCGGAGCGGCGGGGCGCCGGACCCCCAGGTCGGAGGCGACAGGTCTCGGGCCCTCAGGCGGAGCGGCGGGCGCCGGACCCCCAGGAGGAGCGACAGGTCTCGGGCCCTCAGGCGGAGCGGCGGGGGCGCCGGACCCCCCAGATGGAGCGACAGGTCTCGGGCCCTCAGGCGGAGCGGCGGGCGCCGGACCCCCAGGTGGAGCGACAGGTCTCGGGCCCTCAGGCGGAGCGTTGAGCGCGGGCGCCGGACCCCCCAGGAGGAGCGACAGGTCTCGGGCCCTCAGGCGGAGCGGCGGGCGCCGGACCCCCAGGCGGAGCGACAGGTCTCGGGCCCTCAGGCGGAGCGGCGGGCGCCGGACCCCCAGGAGGAGCGACAGGTCTCGGGCCCTCAGGCATCGGCGGGCGCCGGACCCCCCCAGATGGAGCGACAGGTCTCGGGCCCTCAGGCGGAGCAGGCGGGCGCCGGACCCCCAGGTGGAGCATGGACAGGTCTCTCGGCCCCCTCAGGCGGAGCGGCGGGGCGCCGGACACCCCAGAGGGAGGTCGACAGGTCTCGGGCCCTCAGGCGAGTGTGCTGAGGTGCCGGACATTCAGTCCCCAGCGGGCGGACAGGTCTCGGGCCCTCAGGCGGAGCGACAGGTTCAGGGCGCTCAGGGCGCCTCAGGCGGGCAGACAGGTCTCGGATACCAGGCGGCGGCAGGCGGGGCGCCGGATCCCCAGCACGGAGCGGGGGCGCTGGACCCCCAAGCGGGCAACAGGTCTCGGGCCCCCAGGCGGAGACCGCGGGCACCGAGACACCAGGCACGACAGTGGGCTCCGAAGTCAACTGGTATGACCGCAGGGCACTGGGTCAGACATTGGTGTACATTGGATCTGGTCTGGCTGGACAGCGGGCATCGGGTCACCAGGCATCAGGTCATTTGGCTCGACAGCGGGCACCGCGTCATCTGGCAAGGCAGTGGGCTCCTGAGTCAAACTGGGGTATGACCGCGGGGCACTGGGTCAGACATTGGATCGTCTGACTGGACAGCGGGCATCGGGTCACCAGGCATCAAGTCATTTGGGCTCGACAGCGAGCACCGCGTCATCTGGCAAGGCAGTGGGCTCCGAGTCAACTGGCATGACGACCGCGGGGCACCGGGGCAGACATTGGATCGTCTGGCTGGACAGCGGGCATCGGGTCACCAGGCATGACAGTTCATTTGGCTCGACAGCATTGCGGGCACCGCGTCATCTGGCAAGGCAGTGGTCTCCGAGTCAACAGGCACGACAGTGGGCACCGGGTCATCAGGTACCGGATTGTCTGGCTCGGACAGGACAGCGGGCATCGGGTCATCAGGTATGACAGCGGACACATAAGGCGTCACCAGGCATCAGGTCATTTGGCTTGCCAGCGGGCACCGCGCATCTCTGGCAAGGCAGTGGGCTCTCCGAGTCAACTGGGTAGGACATCGGGCACTGGTTTAGACATTGGATCGGTCTGACTGGACAGGGGCATGGGTCACCATCACCAGGCATCAAGTCATTTGGTCGACAGCGGCACCACCGCATCATCTGGCAAGGCCGAGTAGGGCACCGAGTCACTGAGGTAGACAGCGGGCTTCTGAGTCGAGTCAGGCTTGGCACGACAGCGGGCTTGGTCTGAGTCAATTGGCACGACAGCGGGCACCGGATCAGGTACCGGCTTCATCTGGAGATCAACAGCGGGGCATCGAGTCACTTCTGGCCTAATAGGATCGTCAGGCTGGATACAGTTCATCATGCTGGGTAGAGGCATCAGGCCGAGTAGAGGCATCAGGCCGAGTACAGGCTTCAGGCTGAGAGAGAGGCATCAGGCCGAGTACAGGCATCAGGCCGAGTACAGGCATCAGGCCGTGAGTACAGGCTTCAGGCCGAGTAGAGGCTTCAGGCCGAGGAGAGGCTTCAGGCCGAGGAGAGGGCATCAGGCCGAGGAGAGGCTTCAGGCCGCGTAGAGGCTTCAGGCCGCGTAGAGGCTTCAGGCCGCGTAGAGGCTTCAGGCCGAGTAGAGGCTTCAGGCCGAGTACAGGCATCAGTCTGAACCACGGAAGGCAGGCTCACCGGTTTGGATACTGGCAGGATGGTATTGGTTGGAAAGAATTTTCGCTTTTTTTTTCTGGTTTTAACTACTGGAGCACTGCAAGTAAACGCAGGTCTGCAAACGAATGGAGCAGCTGGAGACAGAGAAGAACTGGAGGATGGAACAGGAGAGGGAGCAGCAGTTGCTACAGAGGGCTTTTTTACAGGGTTAAAGGCAGGATAGGTGCAGCGTTGAGCGAGTGGGAACAGGGCTACTGACATGCGGTAGATAGCCAAGTATACTGGGCTGTAACTGGAGGAGCTGTTGGGAATACAGGGGAGTAGAGTTAGAAGCAGGACTGGGTCTTTGTAAAGCTGACTGAGGCTGGGTGCAACAAGTCTGTCCATGTCTGCAGTAGGGGTTGAACAAAGCTGAGCTTACACAAAGTCTGTCTGGTCAATGACTGCACTGCGTTTATACAATCTCTCAGTGTCTGTGGTGTGAACATGTGGAATAACGCTCCAGAAAGTAACCCACATCATCCTCTAATAACCACACCAGGGACTCTACCTGGTCTGCACTAAATGGTGGCAAAAATTCATCCCTGCATTCGGGGGAACCAGATGAAACCAACTCTGCACAAAACCTCAATCAATGGCTGCACCTCAGAGAATACTGTGCCCTGATCTACTAGAACATGAGCGAGCCGTATACATTCTAGCAATTCATCCCGGGGATACTCCTTCAGAGTTTGATAAAGCATACTCCCTGTCATCAAACACTAGCAGATATAAATACTCAACCTCATCAAGATCCATCCTTCCCATCAACAAGCCAAGATGGCTTCCCTGTGCAGCCACTTCTGGTCAGGATTGGCCTTGGTGTAATGTCAGGGCTCCCAGGTATGACCAGAGGTGTGTGACTGAAGCAGGGAAACGCAGACCTCAGATATGTTATAACAATATAATTTATTAACACTAACAGTACAAACATAAACGCAGTGCAATACTAAAACATATACGGTGCAAACAAACCAAACCAAACCACCCACAGATAACAGTATATACAAGCAAGCGTCGTCAGGCAGGCCGGGTCAATATCAATTGGGCAGGTAGGTACAGGGGGAGCAAGCGGAGAATGGTCGGGGTCACAGGCCAGGTTCAGCAGGTAGCAAGCAGCATAGTACAGAGGGTCAGGCAGAGGGATGGTCCGGGTCACAAGCCAGGGATCAGAACAGGTAGCAAGCAGCGTAGGTACAGAGGGTCAGACAGAGGGATGGTCAGGGTCACAAGCCAGGATCAGAGCAGGAGAAGTCAGCAAAGGAACAGAAACAGGATGCAGGACAGATACAGGGCCCAGGACAAACACAACACCAAGGCAGAGTCTGCAAGTCTGGCCATCCCTTAAATACACCAGTATCATCAGTTCCAGGTGTTAGCTGGCTGAAAGGTTGAGTCTCTGATTGCTGGGAGCACCCGCTGGCCAGCCCTGGTACTGCAGATCAAAAGGCAGGTGAGTCCCACCATTGCTGGCCAGTCCATTCCTAACAGTATGTATCCTGCTGGTTAAGCAGCCAGGGATAGAGATGATGACACCTAACAGGATGAAACATTCAATAAGCACATTGTCAATACACTCTAAAGGAGTGGTTTCCACTTACCCTTTTGAAAGAGTTATCTGCTTTGGCAATGAGAAGCTGCCTAGTCTTCCCAGACGAAACATCCCTCTTCATAGTTTACAAAGAGGACCATGTGGATGGACATGACTACATGAATACTGCTTTGTTCAAGCAACCAAGGATAAAGATGATGACACCTAGCAGGTTGTCACATGAGGCTAATACACTCTAAAGGAGTGTTTCCACTCACACTGTGAAGAGGTTATCTATTCTATCAAGGAGCAGTCTCCTAGCCTTCTAGACAAACAATCCTCTTCAGACTCTTCCAAAAGAAGAGTCGGTCGGATGAGCATGACTGTATGAACCATGCTGATTCAAGCAACCAATCAGCAGTCTCAGAACCTTCTCAGGCATATCAACTCTTGTCAGATTCATCCAAAAGAACATGTGGATGAACATGACTGTCTGATTCCTGCTTTGTTCAAGTAGACAGTGATTAAGATGACGGTGACCAACGTTGTCATAATTAATTAAGCATGTGGTCAAGACACTCCAAAGGAATTGCTGAATTCAATTTATGCAAGGGTTATCTATTCTCACAAGGTCCAGTCTTCCTTTTAGGGCCATTTATAACTGGTCTCAGAGCTTTCTTAAGCCAATAAATCCTCTTCTGTCCCTTCTGAACAAGAAGATGATGACCTTTGTCCATGTTTTTTTTATTCCTTTTGTAAGGTTGATGGAATGCCTTTAATTAGAAGAAAAGTTGTGGAAGTATTTTAAGTGCCTCCAGACAATTCCCTTATGGTGACTGAAACAACAAGTGCTCGTTCTACAAGATGGGAGCATGTTGTCACAGCAGGATATCAAAAATTTTAAATCACCCCTTTGGTTCAGTGTGTCCCTTATGGAATTGGCCAGATACAGTGGGGATCGAAAGTTTGGGCACCCCAGCTAAAAATTTGCATTAATGTGCATAAAGAAGCCAAGGAAAGATGGGAAAAATCTCCAAAGGCATCAAATTACAGATTAGACATTCTTATAATATGTCAACAAAAGTTAGATTTTATTTCCATCATTTACACTTTAAAAATAACAGAAAACAAAAAAATGGGTGTCTGCAAAAGAGTTTGGGCACCATGCAGAGTTAATATCTTGTACTGCCCCCTTTGGCAAGTATCACAGCTTGTAAACGCTTTTTGTAGCCAGCCAAGAGTCTTTCAATTCTTGTTTGAGGTGTCTTTGTCCATTCTTCCTTACAAAAGTCTTCCAGTTCTTTGAGATTTCTGGGCTGCCTGTCACGCACTGCTCTTTTAAGGTCTATCCATAGATTTTCAATTATGTTGAGGTCAGGAGATTGTGAAGGCCATGGCAAAACCTTTAGTTTACGCCTCTTGATGTAATCCCCCGTGGATTTCGAGGTGTGTTTAGGATCATTATCTATTTGTAGAAGCCATCCTCTCTTTAAACTTCAGCTTTTTCACAGATGGCATCAACTTACCATCCAAAATTTGCTGAAAGTTTAGTGAATCCATTTTTCCTTCTACTCGTGAGATGTTCCCTGTGCCACTGGCTGCAACACAAACCCCAAAGCATGATTGATCCAACCCCATGCTTAACAGTTGGACAGAGGTTCTTTTCATTCAATTCTGTGCCCCTTCTTCTCCAAACGTACCTTTGCTCATTCCGGCCAAAAAAGTTCAATTTTAACTCATCGGTCCACAGAACTTGTTTCCAAAATGCATCAGGCTTGTCTATATGTTCATTTGCAAAGTTCAAACAATGATTTTTGTGGTGAGGACGTAGAAGAGGTTTTGTTCTGATGACTCTTCCATGAAGACCATATTTGTACAAGTATCTCTTTATAGTGGAATAGTGTACCACAACTCCAGTGTCTGCCAGATCTTTCTGGAGGGATTGTGCATTCAAACGTGGGTTTTGAATTGTTTTTCTCACAATCCTGCGAGCTGTCCTGTCTGATATTTTTCTTGGTCTTCCAGATCTTGCTTTAACTTCCACTGTTCCTGATGACTGCCATTTCTTAATTGCATTCCGAACAGAGGATATTGACATCTGAAAACGCTTTGCTATCTTCTTATAGCCTTCTCCAGCTTTGTGAGCGTCAACTAATTTTTCAGTTTCAGTTTTCTAGACAACTGCTTAGAAGAACCCATGGTGCTGATTGTTGGGGCAAGGGTCAGATGAGTCCTGGGCATTTAAAACCTTTGAGATTGACATCACCTGGTCTTCCCAGACGATGATTGAGAACAATCCATGACACTGGCAGTCTCAGCTTGGCAAAGGGGGCAGTGCATGCTATTAAATTCTGCAGGGTGCCCAAACTTTTGCAGACGCCATTTTTTTGTTTGAGATGTTACTTTTTAGAAAGTGTAAATGATGGAAATAAAATCTAACTTTTGGTGACATATTATAAGAATGTCTAATCTGTAATTTGATGCCTTTTGGAGATTTTTTTCCATCTTTCCTTGGAGCTTCTTTATGCACATTAATACAAATTTTTTAGCTGGGGTGCCCAAACTTTTCGATCCCCACTGTACCTGACTTTAGCAGTAGAATATGCTATGGCCTTCAAGGACATACTCAATCACTGCATTGTTATAAAGTAAAGCCTGGAGTGCCCAAATTTTAAAAGGTAAAGCCTAAATTAATAGTGGTTAGTTGGTTCCTGCCTGCCTCAAGATGAATGTCTGTTGAGTTAAAGGAGAGACTGAAGTTCAAGAGTCAGTTTCCACACTCACTCCAGAGAGAATAGCTTTTGCATTTCTGGCTGGAGAGTCAAAGAAAAAGCCATGCACATAATCCAAAGAAGTCAGCGAAGAGCTTC